GGGGGCAGGCTCCGGGGTGGAGGCAGGGCAATTGGGGTGCGGGCTCGGGGGTGGAGCCTGGGTGTGGGGTACAGGCTGTGGGGGAAGGGGGCAGATATGCAGGAGGGGTGTCTGGACTCTGGCTCTGGGAGGGACTTTGGTGTCAGGATGGGGGTGGGGAAGAGGGTGTAGGCTCTGGCAGGAGTGGGATGCAGGGTGAGGGTGCCATGTTCACACACACATGGCCACAGGGAGGTGCTGGCAGCTGCGGGCAGTCCCTGGGTGTGGGGTACAGGCTGTGGGGGAAGGGGGCAGATATGCAGGAGGGGTGTCTGGACTCTGGCTCTGGGAGGGACTTTGGTGTCAGGATGGGGGTGGGGAAGAGGGTGTAGGCTCTGGCAGGAGTGGGATGCAGGGTGAGGGTGCCATGTTCACACACACATGGCCACAGGGAGGTGCTGGCAGCTGCGGGCAGTCCTGCTACACTGCCAGTGGTGGCAGCTGCAGCCTCTGGGCTCTTCTGAATGGCGGGCCCATGTAACTCGCTGCCTGTGAGTCCAGACTAACGGTAGCATCCCCGCCCCTTTCCTGGGCCCTCTAGGGGCCCTTTGCTGGCAGGAGCTGGGAGGCCCAGGAAGGAGCCAAGAGAAGACAAGGGCCCGGCAGCCGCCCAGCATGAGGCCAGCCAGGGCGCCTGCACACGCTGTGCTGAATGTGGAACCGACTGAGAGCAAAGGGACGGTCGCTGCTTGTAACAGGGAACAGCCCCCAAGCCGGGGGCGGGGGGGATACAGAGCAGCTATGGGCTCAGGCAGCCCTGCCCCCCGGCAAGCCCGGAGCCCAGAGCCAGCCCAGCCAGCAGAGAGCAGCACTGGGAGGATGGACAGACAAGCTGGCCGGGGACAATGGCTGCTCCTCTCCCAGGGCCAGTCGGGGCAGCAGGCGGGTCAGACTTCAAGTATCCACTCTGGGACCTGGGAGCCACTTGCCTGAGGACACCAACCTGTATAATGGGCTGCCCAGAGCCCCTGGCCTGGAAGGAGGCTGCTGCCAGCGCCAGGGAGAGTGCAGGATAGTGATGTTGGGAGGGTAGGGAGGGTGCCCTCCCACCCCTATCCCGTGTCTGACTCCAGCTCGCAGGCCTGGGGTCTCATGAATGTCTTTAAGTATCAGAGGGGGAGCCGTGTTAGTCTGAATCTGCAAGAACAACAAGAAGTCCTGTGGCATGTTATAGACGAAGTGGGTCTTTGCCCACGAAAGCTCGTGCTCCAATAAATCTGTTAGTCTATAAGGTGCCACAGGACTCCTCGTTGTTCTTTATGAATGTCTGTATTCTCCTCAAAGGGCTCATTGTCTAGACAGTGCCCTTCAGAGCTGCCTGCACCATGTGCTAGGAAAGCGAAGGGATCCTGTGACAGGGCGGGCCAGGCCTTGAGACCCCCTGCCGGAGGCCCTATGGTCCTGCCACACACTGCCCCAGAAGGACAAGAGAGAAGTCCTCCAAGCAGGCTGGAATGGATGCAGGAGAAGTTGCCAATCAGGAGACAGGAAGGCCTGATAAAAGGAGCTGCAGGACCAGGCAGCAGTCAGTTCCTCCGGAGACCTCAAGGTGTGCAGACCGGAAACTGGCTGGTGGAGAGAGTGCCAGCACCCTGGACAGCTCCGTGTGGAGCGCTTACAGGAGACTGATGGACTGTGATGGGACTCAAACAGAGCCCGGAGGCCAGGGCAAGGAAGCTGTCTCCAGGAGGGAAGCTGGGGGGCACTGACTCAGAGGGCATGAGATGGGCCCTGGGTAGACATGTACCCCGGAAGGGGGTTGTTTGGAATCACAGGTGGGCAGTGAGTGTGACTTGGCCAGACGGGGCGCTCACAAGAGGTGAGTGCTGCCCTGTTACAGACCCCCACCGGGGCTCCCACCGATCCCATTCGTGGTGCACCAGGCTCCCAAGGTCATAGACTCATAGAGCTGGAAGAGACCTCAGGAGTCATCAAGTCCAGCCCCCTGCCCTAGGCAGGACCAATCCCAACTAAATCCACCCAGCCAGGGCTGTGTCAAGCCGAGACTTAAACACCTCTAGGGATGGAGACTCCACTACTTCCCTAGGGAACCCAGCCCAGCGCTTCCCCACCCGCCTAGGGAAATAGTTTTTCCTAATATCCAACCTGGACCTCTCCCACCACAACTTGAGACCATTGCTCCTTGTTCTGCCATCTGTCACCACTGAGAACAGCCTCTCTCCATCCTCTTTGGAACCTCCCTTCAGGAAGTTGAAGGCTGCTATCAAATCCCCCCTCACTCTTCGCTTCTACAGACTAAACAGACCCAAGTCCCTCAGCCTCTCCTCGTAGGTCATGTGCTCCAGCCCCCTAATCATTTTGGTCGCCCTCCGCTGGACCCTCTCCAATGCGTCCACATCCTTTTTGTAGTGGGGGGCCCAGAACTGGACACAATACTCCAGATGTGGCCTCACCAGCGCCAAATAAAGGGGAATAATCACTTCTCTGGATCTGCTGGCAATGCTCCTCTTAATGCAACCTAATATGCCATTAGCCTTCTTGGCTACTAGGGCACCCTGTTGACTCATATCCAGCTTCTCATCCACTGTAACCCCCAGGTCCTTTTCTGCAGAACTGCTACTTAGCCAGTCGGTCCCCAGCCTGTACCAGTGCTTGGGATTCTTCCATCCCAAGGGCAGGACTCTGCACTTGTCCTTGTTGAACCTCATCAGATTTCTTGTGGCCCAATCCCCTAATCTGTCCTGGTCACTCTGGACCCTATCCCTGCCCCCCAGCGTATCTATCTCTCCCCCTAGCTTAGTGTCATCCACAGACTTGCTGAGGGTGCAATCCATCCCCTCATCCAGGTCATTAATAAAGACATTGAACAAAACCGGCCCCAGAACTGATCCTTGGGACACCGCGCTAGATCCCTTGAGGATCTTGCAGAGCAGAGAACAGGCTGCTCAGGGTGACACCAGCTGCCAGGCTCTGCAGGACATTGCCCCGCCTCGTGGCTGCTGGTAGCAGAGGTGCTGAGATGCCACGTGGGCCCCAGCCAGCGGCAGACTGTGAACCCGCATTTCCTGCCCTGTCACAGGATGAAAGGGGCCGGGGTCCAGGGGCTCCGTGTAGTCCAGATACGCCTCCCCACCTCCTGCTCAGCGAGAGACTGTTCTGACAGGCCGTCACCACCCAACACTGAGCCTCGCGCCGGAGCCGGACAAAACGTAAAACCCGAACGCGGGTCCCAGCATTCACGGAGCTCGGCGCCCTGGTTCAGGACAGGCCGTGGGGCGGCCACGCATCTCCCTGGACCTCCAAGCCTTGCACCACCTCACTGAGGCCAAAGTAGCTGGCCCCTACTGCCGGGGTGTGGACAGGTATGGCCCTAAAAACTGACTGGCCAACCCACCCCACCCCCGGCCAAGTGACGCAGAAATGGCACCAATCAGTGACCCAGTACCCTGTGCCCCCCGAGGCACCCGGCCTGCTCCCCGTCTCTAGCCCCGGCTCTTAAGGAAGGTCAGAAAACTTCTGGGAGCAAATCTCTCAGTCCTGCGGCAGTGCAGTGGAACAGGGCCGGGCCCTTTCAACAGCCTGGGGCCCATGGGGCTCTGTGTTCTGGAAGCCGAGCACATGTGGGTGCCTGGGGGCTATTGGGAACCGCCCGGCTCATGCCCCATGTTGTTTGTGTGTCAAGGGTGAGGCCCGGTCCTAGGGCATTCAGTGGGGTGGCCATTTAACACTGCTTGCCCCACAACAGCTGCTGTCTGCAAGATGCTAGGGCTGCCCTGCAGGCCTCCAAAGCTAGAAGCAGGACAGGGGCTACTCATGGTGCCGGCAGACACGCCCCCAGTGGCCTGACATCTGCTTTCCCTGCCAACGCCCCCAGCTGGCATGCGAAGCCAGTGAAATCCAGGCAGAGCCAGCGAGAGCCACATGGAGAGCAACCCCCGTCCCTGGCTGCGTGCCTGCGTCTTTGCCAAATGCTCCGAAACCCTGAGTCGCAGCTCTGGCAGGGCCATCCTGGGTCAGAGGGATCCGCACATGGCGTGCCAGCTGTGTCGTACCTCCCTCACCCCCCGACTCCTCAGCCGCGGGCCTGGCTCAGCTCAGAAGCAGCATATCCCAGAGGCCTCCTGGTTTTCCAGACACACACGTCTCCCGTGCGGAGGGAAAGTCCCTCGCTTGTGCCAGGAGAACTCCCCGCGGCTGCACGTGACTTCCAGGCATTGCTCCGTTTCCCGCTGTGCCGGCAGGGATGAGAGAAACGTTCTGAGTGAGCTTGGCTTGCTCTGCCTGCTTGTCATCCCCCCGAGACCCTGCAGCAAGTTTCCCTTTTCTTCCTCACTCAGCTCCTGCTGGGACTTTCTCCCCTCCCCTCCCCCGCTCAGGAAATTCCGCTCCCTTTCGCTTTCGCTCAGCCTGGGAATTGCTATAAAGGGAGCCCAGCCTGTGGGTGCCAGTGCCGCAGCAGAACACAGCTCAGCCCTGGCTCCGGCTTCGCTCATCCTCCCTCCACAGCAGCATGAAGGTCTCCGTGGCCGCCCTCGCCGTCCTCGCCAGCGCGGCCTTCTGCTCCCTGGCCTCCTCCGCCCCACGTGAGTCCAGCCTCGCTCTCGGAAATGGCCATTTGGGAAGGGAACCTCAGGCTTGCTCTTTGGATGGGGGGGCACTTCCCCTGGGGGTACCACTTCCCCCCACTCGCCTCCAGGCTGCTCTAGCTGCTGCTGCTTTCCCTCGTGTAAGCACGGCCAGATGGGCCAGACCAAAGGTCCATCCCGCCCAGTGTCTGGTCTGCCCACAGCGGCCAAAGCCAGGTGCCCCAGAGGGAGGGAACAGAACAGGGAATCATCTAGCGATCCCTCCCCTGTCCCCATTCCCAGCCCCTGACAAACAGAAGCTAGGGACACCATCCCTGCCCATCCTGACTAAGAGCCATTGATGGACCTAACCTCCATGAATTGATTTAGTTATTTCTTGAATGCTGCTAAAATCCTGGCCTTCACCACATCCTCTGGCAAGGAGTTCCACGGGTAGACTGTGCTGCATGAAGACATACTTCCTTTTGTTTGTTTTAAACCTGCTGCCTAGTAAAGTGTGAGGGCCACAGCCTGGAGCAGGTGCTGTTGGGGGGGTTTCAGGTGAAAAAAGTGAGTGGAACAGGACAGGATCTGATGTCAGAGGTTGTGTGCGTGTGGGCCACTCTCTGAACTGGCAAAAGGAGGAAGCCACTCGCTCCAGGCAAGTTTCAACATGGTCAAATTTATCTAGTTCTTTTTTGAACCCTGTTAAAATCCTGGCCTTCACAACATCCTCTGGCGAGGAGTTCCACAGGTTGGCTGTGTGCTGGGTGAAGTAAAACTTCCTTTTGTTTGTTTGAAACCTGCTGCCTATTAATTTCATTTGGTGAACCCTAGTACTTATGTTATGGGATCCAGTAAATAACTTTTCCTTATTCACTTTCTCCACAGCTGTCATGATTGTATAGACCTCTGTCCTATCCCCCATCCCACCATGCCCCCCTCCCCCCGCATTGGAACTCATGTTGTCTGTTTCCATCCTTCAGTGGGATTGGACAGACAGACCTCCTGCTGCTTCTCCCACTCGGCCCGCCCCATCCCACGCAGAATGGTGCTGGGTTACTACGACACCAGCGGCAAGTGCACCCTGCCTGCTATCGTGTAAGTACAAGCTCCCGCACCCAGGGAGCGGCTGGCAGCGGGGGGGCAGGCTTGTCGAGGCCCGCTTGTGTGCCCAGCCCTGCGGCGGATGGCTGCCTGCCAGGGGCACCGTTTGCTCAGTGTCTGCCTGCAGTGAAATCCCTGCGGCCGGGCCACTTGTGCTGGCTGGGGTGTGCGGGCTCAGCGGGGGTGCTGTGATGGTTAACCCCATGACCCCAGTCAGCTGGTCCGGGCCAGCCACGGTACTTTGATTCCAGCTTAGAAACACCTGGGTGTGGGGCAGGACTGCACAGGGCTGCTGCTCCTGGGTCCGACGGGGGGACATCCGGGGGTCCCAGGTCCCCTAAATCATCCGTTGCAGAGCCCCCTGCCCAGTGCAGACTCTGAGAGCCAAGGGTTCCTCTCCCTGCTGTAAGAGAACAGGCCAGCTAGAAGGGATCCCCAGGGCTCCGCCTCTAGGGCCCTGGGGTGGGATCTACTCAGCCCCTGGGGTAATGGGTGTGGGAGGGGGCAGGAAGGGAGGTTGCGGGAGTGCTTTCCTTCGTCGACATGGCAGCTGAATTGGGGGGGACAGGCCAGATGTCCCAGACCAGAATCAGTTTCTGATGGCGGATCCTTCAGGGACCGGCTCTCCTGGCTGCCCGGCAGGCGTGGGGAGACTCTGTTCCCTCTCTCTAAGCCGTCTCTTTCCTGTCCCGCAGGCTGATTACGAAGAAAGGCCGGCCCATCTGTGCTGACCCCGGCGAGGCCTGGGTCCAAGGGCTACGTGACCAGCTGGATCGGAACTGAGCCGCACGGGGCCCGAACTCGCTGCCTCGGTGTGCTATGGTTACCCCAGGCCGCCCCGTCGTGCCGGTGTGGGGGCAAGCAGGCGATTCCTGCCCCAAGGAGCTGGCCAGCTGAGGGCAACGTTCAGCCGACCCCGGAGAGACCCCCATCCAGCCGACACAAGCAAGGCTTCTGCTGCTAACCCCCTTGCCACAGAACAGGCGCACGCTGGACCTGTGCCACAGCCTGGGAAGCTACTTAAGACGTGTCGCGGGCGCCACCGTTTTTTATCGCTAGTTCTATTTATGGGAGGCATCCAGGTGGTCACACGACCGCCCCTGCATCCCTGGGACAGACACAAACCAGCAGGCGGCGGAATGTGTTTGGGTCTCGGTGCTGCAGTATTAGGGGACGCGCGGGGGTTGGAAAATAAAATGTTTGGTGTAAAATCTCTCTGGTTTCCTTACTGCAAATCCTGGCTGGACTGATCTCCCGTCCCAGGCACGGTCCTGGACCCTGTGCTTGCCTGGCTCACTAGGACCGGGCCTGGAACAAAGCTGACCAGCGCAGCACCAGCCCGTTGGGGAAAATTCGGCCCCATTGACAGTTTCCAGCTCCTCTCACAGGCACCTAGCCCCCCCACAGCACTTCCCCCGGCAAGCGCCACCCCAAATCCTGGCTGGACTGATCTCCCGTCCCAGGCACGGTCCTGGACCCTGTGCTTGCCTGGCTCACTAGGACCGGGCCTGGAACAAAGCTGACCAGCGCAGCACCAGCCCGTTGGGGAAAATTCGGCCCCATTGACAGTTTCCAGCTCCTCTCACAGGCACCTAGCCCCCCCACAGCACTTCCCCCGGCAAGCGCCACCCGCCAGGCACTGCACTACACTAGTTCCCGCCATACACAGGGAGGGCAAAGGGTTAACTCTCGGCCCCTGCAGACAGCACCAGGTTAGCAGAGACTGCAGGCGGGGAATGGGTTCAAGTTGGGAACCCGTGCCCGTGTGAACGTGCTCTGTCCATGTGAACGTGCTCTGTGTGTGCTCTGTGCACATGTGAACATGCTCCATGCGTGTGAGCGTGCTCCGTGGGCAGGGCATCTCCTGGGGAACAGGGCAGTTACCCAGCCGGCCCATGGGCTACACAGCCACTGCCCAATAGCTGCACTGAATATTTTCCTGTCCCCTTGCCCCAGGGCTCTTAGCAGAGACTTGGGGTAGGAACTGGTTGGTTTCACTTGTCATGTCTACCAGGCGGGGCCTGTTGTTTCTGGGCACAGAGTCGTCGTGGGGACATGTGCATGGACATGTTGCATGGATCCAGGGTCAGATTAAGGGGGGGGCTAGCTGAGCAGCTGCCCGAGGCGCCAACCTATGGGGGGCACCTGATGGCAGCTGTAAGGGGCGCCGCGTGCCCGGGGGCCACTCAGCGCCCCTTAGAGCTGCAATCAGGTGCTGCGTGCCCGATCGCAGCTGTACAGTGTGCAGTGCGCTGGGGGGTGGAGCCGCGCATGCACCGTGAGCCTGGGGATCCGGCCTTGCATGGATCCACTCAGCCCTGCGTGCGTCTTAATGCCTTGGATGCTCCTATCCCCCCCGTTGTGTCCTCTCGCTGCCTACCCCTGCATGGCTATGGATTTGCTCACCTCCTCCTTGTAGGTGAGACAAGGCAGCGTGGTCTAGTGATGAGAGGCAGGTGACTTTGGTTTGGAACATGTCTCTGCCTCGGTTTCCCTATCTGTAAAATGCGGGTGGTGCTGCCCACACGTGTAAAATGCTCTGAAGTTGCTATACAATTAGATCAGGTTCCCCCCATACTAATAACCGCGTCACATGCTTCTCTGATGCTCACCCTTCGCTCACTCACCCTGAGCCAAGGCACTGTTGTGCACTTTCTTTGAGTCCCCTTTGAATCTAGAATGACGCTCCATTTACTGAGCTCTTCCACCCTTGCTCATGTGACCGTGACCTCATCGTGCTTATTGCAGAAGGGGTTTGCTCCACAGTCACACACGCAATTACTCCATTGCTTTATCTCGCCACCCTGAATCCACATCCACTTCCTCCACATTTGCACGGGAACAAGCAGCAAGGGGCTTAAACTGCAGCAAGGGAGGTTTAGGTTGGACATTAGGAAAAACTTCCTGCCTGTCAGGGTGGTTAAACACTGGAATAAATTGCCCAGGGAGATTGTGGAATCCCCATCTCTGGAGAGATTTAAGAGTAGGTTAGAGAAATGTCTATCAGGGATGGTCTAGACAGTATTTGGTCCTGCCATGAGGGCAGGGGACTGGACTCGAGGACTCTCACGGTCCCTTCCAGTCCTGGTGTTCTATGGTTCTATGATTCTACACCAGATCTGCTTACTGCAATGCTCTACCAGCCCCTCACTCCCTACGCTCCTGGGGGTATAACGCACAAAGGAGATTTGTATTACTAACAAGAAGTATCCTGCATCCCAACAGTTCCCACAAAGCCCCTCGGACACCGAACCCCATGGAAAGCGGCCGTTCCCAAGGGGACAGCCGAAGTCGGACGAAACAACCACATGAGGCAAACCAGGCCAAATTCTACTGTCGCTCATGCGTGTAAATCTCCAGCTGCTCCACTGGCCTGGAAGGAGTTCCTCGGGATTTGCACGAGTGTCAATGAAAGCTCAGGGTTCTTGTCTGAGGAGAGGTCCCACAGGCCTGACCCTAGCTGAGTGTGTTACTGGGGATATCCCCAGCTCCTGCTGCTCCCTTCCTTAAGTTCTCCCTGCTGGAAGTTTCTGTGTCCCAGACCAGCCAGTCATGTGGCTCAGGCCCCTGGCCAAGGCCAAGCCGGCTGAAGACCATTGTTCTTAGGGAGAATTCTCCCAGTGCAGGAGTCCGTTGGTTCAGTCTCCCCATCCCCCTGGAGAAAGACCAAATACAGGCTGGAGTCCAGCCTCATGTCCTCGGAGGGCCCATCACAGGCCAGGCTTACAGGAAAACCGAAGCCCTTGCTTTGAGCATGGAGCTGTTCATTCTTTAAGTGCCACTCATGGCTTCTGCTGGACCAGGGATCCCAACCTTTCTCAGTCCCCACACCCCCTTGGCTTTCAGTAACCCTTCCTGTCCCCCCATTCAATAGGAAAGGAAATACAGTCTAGACTCTAGAAACCACTTTTTTCTCTCACACGACTACTTTAGGAATATTTCAATTAGGATAATCTAGTTATTTACCAAATATTCCCCATGCCCCCTTGGCAAGCTTCGCTCACCCCCTGGAGGTACGCGTACCCCACGTTGGGAACCCCTGTGCTAGAAGGTCTAAATTAACAGACAGGGTCACGCTTCATATTTCCAGCTCCACTACAGCAGAGTGGTCACCTCACTCCAAGCATAAAAAGGGTTAAAACAGCCCTGGGAGAGGGCTGTAGCTAAGGGCCAATCACGAGAGGCCTTGCAGCAGCCAATTAGGGTCCAGGAGGGCTGTATAAAAGAGATGGCTGGCCAGACCAGCTCACTCTCATGCTAGCTCTGGAGGGAGGTGGGTCAAGCTGCCTGCTAGCCCAGGGAACCAGGGACAGAGCTATGCTGGGGAAAGGCAGGGAGATACTAGAGCTGTAGCAGGGCAGCCGGTCTGCCTCCTTTGCCCATAAGGAGTGGCCATGTCAGGCTGAAGTTTGCACCTGAGGCAGGGGCTAGATGACTACTGACAGTGGGACACTGAGGCCAGGTAGCTGTAGGGGCTTGTGGTTCCCTGAGGGGATGATCCCCAGAGGGTGGTGGCCCTGCCATGGGGCAATGCCCAGAGGGGAAGGTGCTGTGGTCTGAGGGGGTATGTGTGTCCTGCTACAAGGTGGAGAACAAACAGGTAAAGCAGGTGAGATGCCATCCAGAAGGGGGCGCTCCAGGGCTCAATGAGCTAGTTCCCTGAGCGTCCAGCAGGAGGCGCTGGGGCAGCGCGGGGCACTGTGTTCCATGCACACCACTACAGCGGACACATTCGGGGTCCCAGGCTCTCCGGGGGTTGGTGTCTTGCCCTGTTGTGCATAAAGCATATCTGAATTCTGCATGTTCCTATTCCCAGGGGACGGTGGGGCACAGAGGACAGGCATGGACCCCGCGCAGGGCATTTGGCCATTCGCTCTGACGAGGCAGGGCTGGGAGAAGATGCTTTTGGCAGGCGTGACTCACTCCGGGACCTTGCTCTCCGGGCTGGGCAGGAAAGGAGATTTGTCTCCCCGGGAAAAATGGCAGAAAAGGACTCTCCCCCTCGCCCCCCAATTTGTTGAAACTGCTCAATGAAACTGGGCCACCTGACCAAAGGAAGAAGGGAGAGCAGCAAAATACAGACCCTGGGCTTCAGAAGAGCAGCCTTTGACTCCCTCAGAGAACTGATGGGCAGGATTCCCTGGGATGCTGACATGAAGGGGAAAGGAGTCCAGGAGAGCTGGCAGTATTTTAAAGAAGCTTTATTAAAGGCGCAGCAAGAAAAGCAAATATGGTAGGAGACCAGACCGGCTTCCCAGGGACACCCTTGGTGAACTTAAACACAAAAAAGGAGCTTACAAGAAGTGGAAACCTGGACAGATGACCAGGGAGGGGTATAAATGTCTAGCTCTCTTTAATGCTCCTTGTGACATTAACAAAAAAAATGTTCAAAATACTCAGAATCTTGAATTTTCCCTCCTACGCGCAAGTCTTTGCTGCAGAGATCTGTACCACTGGGACACAGGGTAATAGGAGAATGCATCAGGTATGGGTCTGCCGCTGACAATTACTCGTACTTAGTTGAGTGCAACTGCTCAGGGGCCTTCAGCCTCTTGAGACAGCGGGGAGGTTTGTGAACACACGCAGTCGGGATCAGTACGACACAGTCATTACAGATTACTCTGCAGTCTATATTCCCTGCTCAACTGGGCCCATTGTGCTCCGGCGCTTTATCCCGCGTGTTGGACAATGCTTCACGATGACTGTTTTATTGCCATAATTTTTCCAAATCTCTCAGCTGTGCTGCCACACTGTCTCCCCTTAGGATGGGAGCTAAAGACCCACTCGGAGCCTCTAGCAAGAGGCACGCTGAATGCAGCCACCATAGCAAACACTTAATCCGTCAGTGAAAAACTGCTTTGGGAACAGAGATGCCCAGCGACACGTCAAAGGCAAAGTAGCCCACAGAGCACATCAGAAGCACAGAGCATTTAATGGATGACTCCCCTGCTATGGTTTGGAAGTCACGGAACAGGCAGAAGAAGGGAGAAAAATGATTTTGCAGCTATCCCGCACACACAGGAGTGCTCTTCACACGCTCAGCGAATAGCCTAGCACCTTAGGTCCCAGCATAGCGCTTGTTGAATAGCATCTGTGCTCTTCTTCCACATTAATATTTCAGAACCAGGATTGCTTTTCTGGGCTAGCACGCTGTGGTCTCTAAGGCACCACCATACTGTGAGTAAACAATGC